TTTAAAAACGTTCCTATGATTTTTTGTTCCTGAGTTACTCGCGGATTAAGTAAAAAGGAACATTCTGACTTTATTTAGCTCCTTTAACTCTGTTAAAAATCATTATATCGCAATTAAAAATACAAATTTTTAAAGCTGAAACGTTGCTCTATTATGTGGTGTAATTGCCAATTTTTTTTAAATAGAATAGATTGTTAAAAATGTTTTTATCATTTTGTAAAGTAACTTTTTTCCTAATCCAATACACACACACACACACACACACACACACACACACACACATACACGTTTATCTAATGATTTATCGACATAATGTTACAGATAAGTAGAGAATTAAATTGAATAGAAAAGTCTAATCCCATTTTGCAGTATTGACATTATATCAAACAAAAAAACATAAGAATTCTTTATTTAGTTGATTTGGCTGGATCTGAACGTTTGAAGACTAAAGAAGCTGTTAGAATTGCAGAATAAAAATATCAATAAGTCTTTGTTTGTCATTTTAACGCTTTTGAAAGAATAAGTATCTTTTTAATACAAATTTTTAATCAACTCGTTTTACTTATACTTTTTTTGAGAAGTAATTTACACAAACTTTTATGTTACTAAATAGATCTACTTTCGTGAAACGAGTTAAACAAATGTTACGAGACATTAAGTTCTCGTTATAACATAAAATATGCTTAGATTTGCTAATAATAATTACAAGAATGGAAATATTAAATAAAATCAAATGATTTTGCAAAATATGACTACTGCAGACGTATTATTATTAATGATGTATCATTATTGAAACTTTTCAAGACGAGGAAGTAAAAATATTCCACGTAATGTTCTCTCACTCATATTTCTTCATAGTTTTAAGCAATAATATATGTTTTAACAGTTTTTGCGTTATGTTCCTGGCTAACGCTAAATATTCCTGAAATATTCAAAAGATTCCTAAAATCCCCAGAAAAACATTCAAAGAATGTTTTGGAATGTCCCAAAATATAAAATTGAAAATTGGTTTCAATATTTTTTTATTATTTATTGAAACGCTGAATAAAACTTCATCGGATAAAATTTAACAAATAAGCGTTTTAAAGTAGACTTTCTAAGTAATTATAAGTTTTTTAAAATGAAAAAAAATTTATATATGACTTTTCGCATAAATATTAAATTTTTTTTTATTCTGGAAAATTTTATTGTAAAAACTTACTTTTTCTAAAGTGTTTTTAATTTTAAAACTAAAAAGCTTCTGGGAAAAAAATGAAAAGGAGAAAAATGTTTATTATAATATACAATACTTGATTCATATAATTTTTCCAAATTTTTATAAAAACTGTTTTGAATATTAATTTTTACAAAATTGTTAACGAGAAAAAAATTTTTTAAGCTCCATTTTTTGTCTTTAAAATGTATTTTTGAAAACTTCTCTACAATTTTTTTTCGTCGAGATATTTAAGTTTCTGTAAATTGCAAAAAAAATATTTATGAATTTATGAATTTACGATAATATAAATATGAATACTAAAATTAAAGAAGAAAATAAAAAAGATGTAGCAGGATATGTACATAAAAAGTGTGCCTATACCAAATTAAACTTGGCATATGTCGATTGTTAGACTTCTATAAAAAGTTTTCACCTCCTAGCCGTACTATTGTGATAGTGCACTGAAAGAAAAGATTGGTTGCTGAAAACAATTTAGATAGTAAAATGGCATAGCATTTTTATATGATTGTAGCAATCAGTTTTTGTAGCAGCAAATTTTTAGTTAGCCTATTCGCAATGTATATGATTTCGATAGGCTAACGCAGCTAAAAATTTGTTGCTATAACTAAAAACTGATTGCTACAGCCATATGAAAATGCTATGCCATATTTTACTACATTGTTACAGCAACTAATCTTTTTTTCCAGTGTGGTAATCAAAAACATTTTTTATTGTATTAGGTGTTGGAATTAATTCGTAGCGTTTTACAAGTGATGGGAAGTACTTTCATTAATGTATTTTTTAATGCTCATGTGAAATAAATAACATTCTTTCATTAAAAACGCTACGAATTAATTCCAACACCTAATAATTTTTTTTATTTTTTTTAATTCACGAAAAATTATGAAAAAAATCAGTAATGTTTTTTCAGTCATCAAAAAACATTTGTTTAATTTACTAAAATAGGTAATTGTCAATGTTTAAGTAAAATTATCAAATGACTAACTTCATATTTTTTGACACTATATCTTTGAAACATTATTCAGTAATTATTTCAGATTTTTTTATAAATAAGCGTCAATGACAATAATTGAAAATATAAATTAATACTTTCTCAAATTTCCGCGCGAAGTTGTAATTATTTACTTTTTATAATTGGCAGTTACAACTTCTAATTCTTTAACAAATTTTCATTTTATAAATTTGCAAAAATTTCCGGGAATTTTCCGAGAATTTTCTGATGACCAGAATATCGCTGATCTTCTTTATAATTTTGCATTAAATGATTAAAGAAATAGGAAAAAAAATGACCAAAAAATGTATTTTATTACCACTATCACAATTGTAAGGATAGAGAGATAAAACTTCGTGAAAATTTTTCTTTCATAATAACTTAGCAATCAATGTCTCAAGTCTTATTATTAACGAGACATTAAAATCTCATATTAACATAAACATACTCGTTAAAATTTGCTAGTAATAATTACAGGAGTGGAAATATTAAACAAAGCCTAATGATTTTGCAGAAGACAACTAACTACCGCTAGATGTATTATTAATGAGTATTAAGATGTAAAAATATTCTACATGATGTTCTTTCACTCATATTATTTTCTCATAATTTTTAAACAAAATAATAATGCAAGATATAATAAAAGTTACGTTCTCAGCTAACGCTAAATATTTCTGAAATATTCATAAAAGCTAGTTTCTTTGTCGAGAATTTTC